GTTCTCTACAGATGTAGAATCACTCTTAGGCAGAATTGTACCTGCTCCAAACACTTCTGCCTCAGAACTGCTGTAAATACTGCAGCTTTCCCATTCCATGCACAAACTCTGCTCTCATCTCCCTGAATCCTTCGCTGGGCTGTTCATTTTGGGCTTCCCTGGCACCTGCAGGGTTTCCTTATGCTGGAAGTTCTTACTGCCAACAGGACCATCCATGAGTGTTCCTGCTCTAAGCAGCTGGAAGTCTCCTTAAAGTAACCTGAGGAGGCAGCAGACAAATCAGGATGAAAGCATTACTTGGAGAGGAACTTCTCCATGTTTTCAGCATAGCTTTGGGCCCTGAGGGTGACCATCACACTGGGGAAGGCACAGGGGAGGTGGCAGCACAGGTGTTGTGCTGTCTTCTCCCTTCCTAGGTGTGCTTTAGAAAGGAGTTTGCAGTGGTTTTAAGGGATGCAATGAGAGATTTGGCTGCTGGAAAGGATCTCTGGGACAAATTCTGTAGCCTTATCCAAACTATGGCTGCCAAACCTACTGAGTTTTGTGGGGAGAGCTTGCAACAACTTTGAAATGTCCAGACAGGCTGTTCTGTACATAAAAAGCTGTTTTATATTTGTGCTTATTTCCTTCCTGTGTGGTAGAACTTCTGTCCTGCTGTTGAAAGGAGTGGTGCTTTTCATTGTCTTGGGACATCTATTTCTTTATTCCAAGACTTTCTCATTTCTTTGAGAGTAAAACCAGATTTTCTGAGGGGACAGAACAAAATCTTAACCTTTTACCAGCTTTTGAATCTCCTCATGTTTCTCTTGGCTTCATTCCTCAAAGGTTTTTGGTGATTTATTTTTGTTGTTCTTGAAGTGAGACAAAACTGGTGTTTCCTTCTTGTGTGGCCAAGTAACACCTGCTCCAGCCTTGAGATGTTTCTGCTTCTGGTTTCTTACAGTGCTGACCTGCTGAAAGAACTGATCTTTGGGGTGGGAGGTGTTAGTCTGGGCTGCCTTGGGAACCCATTATCTTACAGGGACTTGAACAGAGGAAGTTTAAATAGGCATTACCGTGGGAAATCACCTTCAGCTGGGAGGGAAAAAGGACACTCCTGGATGTGGGGGGAGATGAGCCTTCCCTGGGAAGGAGAGGTCTGTTCTACCTGCACCTCACTGGAGTTCAAGCTTTGTAGAACTTTGTGGCTTTGCCAACGACGTGGATCAAGTTGCTGGTGGTGGTCACTCGGGAGAGACTGATTTTGTGTTTGAATTTTGTGACCTGACCTAGAATGAATCGCACTTTGGCATTGAGAAGAATGAAGGCCAGAAGCTGTTTTGGGGGAGTCTGGGGTGTTTGGGAATCAGAGGCTGGTTTTCCTGAAGGAATGTTAGTGACTTTGTTTTAGCTGTTCAGAGCAGTCTTCTAAAATGCCCTTTCCCCAAAGAAAGGAACAGATAACACTTTTTTTTCCACTTTGTGAAGAGCTGTGAGAAAAGGGTGTAGTGAACATTTCATCACTCTAAAACTCCTTATTTTATGCTTCTTTTTTCAAACACTATTTTTATAAGGTTTCCTTTAAGTAAACGTATGTCTGTGCAAACCTCTCCTGTTGGTGTGAGTCGGAGTTGGGGCTGCTCCAGGTTCCTGCTGAGGTGTCCGCAGGTGTGACAGCAGCACAGCGAGCTGCGGAGAGCCCTGGCGAACCAGCCTGGCTCCTCCACCGCCTTCTTTCCGCGATGGTTTTGCTTTGCCTTCCCCAGGAATGTGTGGCACGGGTGGCGGTGGGAGCGGGCGCGGTGTCCCGTGTCCCCGTGTCCCCGTGTCCCCGCCGCTGTCCCGGCAGAGCGGTCCCGGCATCGCGTCCCCTCTTAAAGCGGCGATGCCGCCGGTGCAGCGCGGCCGCCTGGGGCCGAGCCGCGGCCCGTTTAAGGCGGGCCCGGCCGCGCTGTGGAGCGGCCATGCTGCGGGCGCGCTGGGCGCTGCCGCTGGCGGTGGGCGCGGGGCTGGGGGCGGCCCTCACCCGCTGGCAGCACCGGGAGCACCGGCAGCACCGGGAGCACGGCGATGCGGCCGAAGGGCTGCTGGCCCGCCTGCCCGTGCTGCCCGCCGTGGCAGCGGCCAGCCTGCCCGCGCCGCCGGGCTCGGGGCGCACCGAGCTGAGCAAGTACGGGCTGCCCGGGCTGGCGCAGCTGCGGAGCCGCGAGTCGTACGTGCTGTGCTACGACCCGCGGAGCCGCAGCGCGCTCTGGGTCATCGAGCAGCTCAACCGCGACACGCTCAGCGGCTCTTCGGACCGCGCCGCCTGCGACTTCCAGGAGGACGACTCGGTGCACGAATATCACCGCGCCACCAACGCCGACTACCGCGGCAGCGGCTTCGACCGCGGGCACCTGGCCGCGGCCGCCAACCACAAGTGGAGCCAGAAGGCCATGCGGGACACCTTCTACTTGAGCAACATCGCCCCGCAGGTACGGCCCGAGCCCTGCGGAGAGGCAGGAGCTGCCCGCCTTCAAGGGCAGACGCTGCTCCGTGCGGGAAACCCCCCGGGAGCGTCCCTGTGTTCAGGCAGAGGGGCCAAAGTCACTCGGAGGTGCCGATTTCCTGCTAAATTTAATGACAGGGATCCTGTAAATGCACCTGCGTGTGTGTGCCTCTTAAAGCCATGAAAGAGAGACCACGGTCAGTGCAGCTCCTGTCAGGAGCAGAATTAAACAGGTAGATGCACACTTGCTAAAACTTGAGGCCTTAGGCAATGGGTCCTGCCCTGGGTGTGCAAACCAGGCCATCACTGCTCCCAAAGCAGAGGTGATAGTGGAGATTGGGTATGGAAAGTGCTTGGGACTCTCTGAGCTGTGTTACTCTGAACAGTGAGGAAATACTCCAGCAACTGACTACTGGTTGTGTTCCTAGAATCCTCATTTAAACCAGAATGCCTGGAATAACCTTGAGAAGTACTGCAGAAGCTTGGCAAAAAACAACAGGAATGTCTACGTCTGCACAGGACCCCTCTTCCTGCCCAGGTAAACACGAGGGCTGAGCTGGACTGGCACCAAAAAGATGATTGTGCTGGCAAAGGAAGAGAGGCTGAAGGACCAGACAGGAGGCATCTACTAAGGGCCTTCTCAGTAGATGAGAGCAGCTGTGCACAGAGGTTCTGTAGAAAGGTACCTTTTTAGGATTAGTTTATGTATTTCCCATCCAGATTATTATTTCATGAGTCAAATGGCATTGTTGAGCTGCAGTATAACCACAGCTTGTTTTTGTTTGCAGTCCTTAACAATTTAGTAGTTTAGCTGATCACCAGATTAGACTGCTGACCCCATCCCTGCAGAATAAAGCTTTCAGGGTCAGTGTCATGGACTACTTCTCCACTTCAGGACACAATTTTATTTTCAAACATCTCCATGTAGCACCAAAGCACAGCTGTCTCATGTTGAGATCTCTTCAGCAGCAGGAAATAGCTTGGAAAGTCTGTTAAAGAGAGCCAGCAGGGAGGGGATTTGGGAGCAGCCCCAATGCACAGCTCACCCTCACCATGTCACATGGCCTCTGCCCCAGCCGTGTTTTACAGCCCTGTTGCAGGAGCAGAGCTGTTTCCTCCTGTGGGGGGGCTCTCACTGAGGGGGTGGAGTGACACCAGACTAAGAGATAACCTGGGATGTTGCTGTTGGTGCAGGATGGAGGCCGATGGGAAGATGTATGTGAAGTACCAGGTGATTGGGAAGAACAACGTGGCTGTCCCCACCCATTTCTTCAAGGTGCTCATCTTGGAAAAGGAGAGTGGGGAGATTGAGTTGCGCTCCTATGTGATGCCCAACAGCCCTGTGGATGATAAAATCCCCCTGGAACGGTTCCTGGTTCCCATTGAGAGCATTGAGCGAGCTTCAGGGCTCCTCTTTGTCCCAAACATCCTCAGGAGAACAAGTAACTTGAAAGCCATCACAGCTGGAAAGCAGTGAACCCTGACTAGAGCAAATACAGGTAATCCCTGCCAAGGCACTGGCAGTCACCTGCACAATCATCGTTCCTTGTGCAGTTGTAAATGTGGGAATTAAGACTCAAACCTGTACTTCTCTCTACTGTTCCCCTTGTGTCAAACTGAAACACAGATGCACAACAGGTCTCCAGAGTGGTCCTGCAGGAGGCTCAGGGGCACCTGACACTGTAGGAGCTCTCTAGGATTTGCCCCTCATCCACTGCTGCCTTGGAGTAGCGTGAAGCTCATTCAGGCAGAAAGAGAAGTCAGCTAACTGTTGCAGTTTAGCAGGGAAGGAGGGAAGCAAGGTGGGTGCAAGCCAAGGGAGTAGAGAAGTTCCTGCCTTCCTGTGGCCGAAGAACTGTACAATTGTTTTCTTTCAGAAGATGGTTTTAGCAGTAAAGCTTTGAACACCCATGGTATTGGTTGTTTCTTATCTGCTCTCATCAAAGCTCTGAATATCTCAGCAGGAGGAGGGGAGGATGGAGCCAACTTTTGCAGCTGCTTTCCTGTCTGAGCTCACTGTAGGCAGAGCTTAAGGCATCACAGATAGAGCCAGACTGTAATGAGATGATGTGTTTTAGTGCTGAGGTTCAGTTGAAGCTCCAGCCCTTCTGGCTGTTGGGAAAGATGAAGCCTTGAAGGGGGGCTGGGGAAAATTAGGCTGAGGCAGGAACAGTTTCTTAGCATAAGTTCTGACTTTGTTTCAGTCTGAAGGCCACATCGCTCCAGAGGCACTGCCTGAAATCCAGGCACACACCTAGATTCCACAGCTGAGGTTCCATACTGTTTTATTCCCACCCCGGATGTCCGAGTTGCTGAGACCAAGTCTGCTGCCAGGCTTGTGCCAGCTGCTGGGAAGCAGCAACCAGCCCTTGGCTGGCCCATGCAGGCAGGAGGGCACAGACTTGCTGCTCCCAGCAGCAGTGAATGCCTGGTTGGGTGTTGTGGCACATCCACAACCAGCCTCTGTGAGCTACCTGCACTCCCAGAGCACGCCTGCCTAAACTGCTGACAAATGAGGTGAGACGGGTCTGTGTGGAGCTCCAAACCTGGTTTATTACAATGAAGAGGGTCCCGGGACAGAGACAAAACGCGGCTGAGGACACAGGGTTTTATAAGGGGGGAAAAGGGGCAGGTCTGAGGGCCAAGGGCCAACGGGAATTGAATACCAGTGGTGCAGGAGGGACAGCCAACTGGGGAACCAAAGAGGTAACCGGGATGGAGCATTGGAGCAAACCAGGACCAGTAGGAGACAGGAGAATGTTCTAGAGGGAGTACATACAAGGAAGAAAGAGCAGTCAGAGGTTTCCCTTCCCTCAGCTGTCTCTGGGTGTCTTCACAGCGTCCTCCATGTGTGGTCTCAGTGCAGACAGAGAGATCAGCAGCGCTTCCTGCAGCAGAGCCAGGCCAGTCAGAGCACACCTGGGCCCCGTTGTCACTGCCCCAGGCAGACACCCAGCACTGCCCTGTGCCCGCCCAGTTCCATCAGCCCTACCTCTGTCCGGATGGTTCTGCTGCCTTGGCTGGGACACGTGTTCAGGTAAAAGTCAAACAAGACACTTGGGTCGGTGACCTCCAGGTTTGGGTCCACATCAACCCCAGCTTCCAAGCCTTCAAGGCCTCCAAATACAACAAGGGCATGCCTGGGGAGAGCGCAAGTGTGAGAGGCAGATTGTCTAGGTCTGCATCCAAGCTCCTGTGTGCTGCTGAAGCAGGGAGCTGTGTCTGTTACTGATGGTGCCCACAGCATCTGGCCAATGTGACAGTCCCTGCTACCAACTCCAGAGAAAGAGGAAAATAATTGGCCTTGTTCTGAGGTATTTCCCCTGCTCTGCTGCCTGCAGCAGCCTCACTGAGAGCTCTGAGTGGGGCCAAGCAGGCAGGACACACACCTGAAGGAGGGCAGAGTGACCTGGTCCACAGAGCTGCCTCGCTCTGAGGTCCCAATAGAGAGATCGTAACCTTCCTTGAATGGGCACTCAGAAAAGACAGCACCTGGAAAACAGGGTTTGGGGTTACTGCTGCTATGTCCTCACCCACATGCCTTCTGGACAGGCTAAACCACTCCATGGTTGAGCGGTGGCAGCAGGAGGAGTTGCTTTCAGTGCCAAAAGTGCAGCTGGAGACAGAATGACTCCTCTTTCCCACAGAATTCTCCTGCTGCAAGAGTCTCCCACATCCTTTTTCTCAAAGCTCAAGACAAGTGCCAGGAGCCATCCCCTAACAACTTGTCTTCCTACAAGGTCCAATCAACCAGAAAATACAAAAATAATTTTCCAGGGCTCTTGAACTCAAATTCGACTGCTGCCTCTGATGTGAATGAGTGGGATGTAGTTATATGGAAGTAGAGAAGGGCATCAACTCATCTCTTGCTGTTGTGCAGCCATTTGGAGCAATGGTGAGTGGAGGTTACAAGGCAGAGTCCTGGAGGGTGACTGAAGTGGCTCATGCCTCGTTTCAGTCCTAAAATTTGACTGCCACATGGCTGCTGGCTGCACGTGTAATGTGCAAGTCTCCTTCAGACACGATTTCTAGGAAAGATGCATGCAGCCAGTAGCCATGAGACTGGTGTGGATGCCCAGGTAGAGAATCTCTGTGGATACTCACTCAAGCAGGAGGCCAGGCGGACGCTGTAACCCCAGTAAAGGCCTGAGACTGTCCGGGGGTGGTGCGAGGACACCACGGTGCCTTTCCGCACTTTGGCTTCTGAAAGAAAGCAAAGAGGTTTAACAGCTCCTGTGATCTGGTGAGATCTGACCAGCCACAGCCAGCGGTTTCTCCTGGAACAGGGTACTGACTTGGTATGCAACATCACCCTCTCATTTTCCAGAAATTTTCCAGATTCTGAAAATCTGAGTTCTGGAAAGCCTGTGAGTGTCTTTGGGCTGTTTACTGCCGAGAAGAGCTGACAGTTCTTAACAGTTATTGAGGGAGGCATGGTGAGGGTGTTACTAAATTTGTGTATGGAGTGAAGGGAACATGCAGAACCACTGGGTACCTTCAAACCTGTCGTACAGAAGGACCAGCTCCTGCAGGACTGAAGTTTACAGATGCTCCTGGAGTCACGGATTACCTGGATTCTGGGGCTCATTCAGGCGCACGGTGACTCGCAGACCAGGGTTCAGCTGTTTGTCAATCTGCACCTCCTGCAGTGACAGGCACCATCAGCACTAGACATTCTGGAAGGACTGGGGAAGGAAGGGAATCCTTTGAGGAAGTGGGGGCCTGGAGTTGGGATGAGGAGCTCTGAGTGTGGCTCGGGCTTGCTTATCAGTCTGAAGCTTATTTTGCTACTCAAAGGTTCAGCTGCAGCAGTAAAGCAATGATCTGCATGGGGCCTGCTGGGACTTGGGAAGCCACAGACATTGCCAAGTCAGAAGGGACAAGACAGCAACAGCCCTAAACCCCCCACCAGCCCACTGCAGCCTTCAGAAACCCAGCAGCGCCCACCCTGCCTGCTGCAAATCTGCCAGAGAGACAAGGGAGGTGGTTTTGGCATCCGTGGGTAACTCACACACCTTCCTCATCCCACAGTTCACAAAAGAGCCTCTGCCTGGCTTCGCTGGCCGGTCCAGCACGACGCCCTCGCGGTACTCCGAGTCCTCGTCCATCCGCATGTGGTGGGGGCTGTCCAGGGGGTTGAGCAGCCCTAGAACAGCACACAGCAAAGAGGAGCTGAGAGGAAAACACAGGTGCAGGTGTTCCCCTGCTCCTTCCCTCTCAGGTCCAGTGCCAAAGTGGGGAAAAGCCCTGGCTGTCCCACACACAGTGAGCCAGAGCTCAGGAAGGAGAGAGACAACTGCATTTACCTGCAAACTGCAGATCCTCGTGTTTTGGAAAAAAGGACTTCCTCAAGTACCTGTCACCAGAGAAAGGTGAAATGTGAAAAGATATTCTTATGGAATCTGGATCTCAATTCTAGCTCTGACTCAAAGGAGCTGAGTATAGAGAAAAGCAAACTTACTGAGGGCACTCCAAGTACTGCAGGATCCGAGCCAGCTGCACACAAGCCTTGCCTTTCTTCCCAATTCCTTCAAAATCCCCCTCCACGGTCCTGAAAGTGAAAGCAAGCAGCTTGTTAACTCAGCATGAGATTGGTCAGGTCTCCAGAAAACCAAGCCTTGGGTCTTAATCTAACAATAGCAGTACATCCCTCCTCTCTAACCCTTGTAAGAGGGCTACTCCAGAGGCAGTCTGTTAACAAATCATCCTTGGAACTCTCTCCAAGCCAAGTACCTTTTTCAGTTTTGTTTATTGATCTTTATGTATTAGTGTGATGTGGCAGGATGTCAGGAAGATGTCCTGACAGATGACCTGTCCCTCCACAGCAAGGTTTAAGGGTACAGGAAAACTCGGCCTCCTGTTGCTTTGTCAGCTCCATGTTGGGATAAATTATCTGAGCTGCCAGGGCAGTTCAGTCAACATCTTTTTCCCTGGGGTATAGTGGTCCCTGTAATCCTGGCACTGAGGAGGTACATGCAGTTAGCTTAATAAAAGAGTGAAGGAACAGAAAGCTGAGAATACTGTGCAGAACAAGATGGCTCTTCCTTCAGAGAATCACAGAATGGCCTGGGTCAGAAGGGAACTTAAAAGATCATCTTGTTCCACCTCCTGCCATGAGCAGGGACACCTTCTACTATCCCAGTTTGCTCCAAGCACCATCCAGGCTGGCCTTGGACACTTCCAGGGACAGTGCAACCACAGCTTCTCTGGGAAGGCTGTGCCAGCGCCTCAGCACCCTCAGAGGGAGGAATCCTTCCTGAAATCTAATCTGAGCATGCTCTCCTTCAGTCTTTGCCTTACTTCACATCCTCTCCGTGCTCGTCGAACACCACGATCTCATCCACGCAGAAGATGGTGCAGGCCCGGGCGATCTGTCCCGCCAGGTAGGTGCGCAGCGCCGGCGACTGCGCGTTGTTCAGGATGGAGCCGGGCAGGGCCACGCTCAGCGTGTGCTGGCGGCCTGGGGAGCAGAGACATGAGAGCCACGGCCCGACAGCCACTGTGCAGCACCACTTACTGCTTCAGCTGCACTCGTGGTGGGGGGAAAAGCAACTTCTGTTTCTTAGATTCAATCACTGGTTTTCTCTTAAGAATGATCTCTAGCGCAGTGGTTGCTGCACAGTGTTTGTGCCCGTTTGGGCATGTGGACTGATCCACATCGGATCTATGAAGCAACACCTTTCCTATCGATAGGTAACACTGACTGCCTTTTAACAGCCAGGTTTTCTAGCACTTTCCACCCAGGTCTCCCTGCCGGGTCACAGCGGCATCACCTCTGTCTTCCTTCTGCTCCTCCTGCGTCTGGGCTTGTTGTTCTGCCAACTCTCGAATCCGCTGTTTCTCCAGTTTCTTCAGCAGCTTAATTTCCTTCCATTTCTTCGTCTCTGCTTTCCCTGGGACGGAGAACAGCGCCTGGCGTTAAACCCCGCGCCGTGACCGCTCCGAGCGGCCCCAGCCCCCGTGTGTGCTCGGCCTTCCTTACTCTCCTGCTTCCAGCGCCGCCAGTCCACCTTCCTGTCCTGCACCTGCGGGGATAGCACGCGTTACCGCCGGGCTCCCCTCCGGGTGCCCTGAGGGCCGCGGGCCGGACCCGGACCCCCGCCCCGGGCCCACCTCAGCGCCCCGCGGCCGCTTCCCCGCGCCGCTCTCCGCCGCCGCCATCTTCCCGCGCCGCCGGCCCCGCCCCGCGCGCTGATTGGCCGGAGGGCGCCGGCCCCGCCCACCGCGCGGCTGAGGCGGGTCGGCCGCGTTCGGCGGCCGCGGTTCCCGTGTGGGGTGTGGGTGTCTCCCTCTCTCTGTGTGTTTGTGTGTGTGTAAAATCTGCGTACCCGCCTCTGCGTGTCTTTACACAAGCCCTGCGTGCATTCTGGACCACAGGTAGATAGATGAACCCTGCCCTTTGCAGGTTGTGTCATGGCCTAGGTAAGAGCCCACGCGTGTGGGGGTGTTGCAGTTAATCTTCATATTAACAATCGAATTGCACGGTTCTTTCTCTATTTCAGCGACTCTTCCCCACGTTTGGTAGCTATATGGGTGCAAAGGGGTTTCAGCAGCACCCTCGCCCACCAGGCAGAGTGAGCAGGGGAGGTGGGACACCAGGAAAGGCAGGTGGCTGTTTGCCTCCTTCCCTCTCTCCCTCCCTCCTGCTGGCCCATGCAGCTCTGCCTCCAAGGTGATTGGCATCACCAGCTGCAGCCCAGTATGGAAAACCTACGGCGCTCTCCCCACCGGCCTGAGTGGGACAAGTTGCCACCATCACAGGACCCAGCACAGATGGGGCACCTCTCAAGGAAAGCTCCATCAGTCCTGCAGGTATTAAGGAGACACTTACTCTTCCATGATTGCAGTAATTCCACTTTAATAATTTAAGTGCTACAAACACTCATCGCACAGTCTGTTGTACACAACTCCTGCATGGTTGATGATGATGTTTAACACTCTTATCCAGGCTGAAATCGACACTGATGCAAGAATTGCATCTCCAGAATTGCTCATGTTACCCTACCAGCTGACTGGGTGTGAGGTTGTGGTGGCCACCAGCAGTAGGAGCAGCCAAAGCCACGGTGCCCATTCTCCCCAGCCACTGTGTGCATTTGTCAAAGGCAAGAAGGTTTTGCTCTGCAGCCTGGATGATGCTGCCAAGCCCTGAGAAAGTGCCAGGAGTAATCTGGAAGGTTTGACAATAGCCAGGCTACTGATGAAAGCCTGTTTCCTGGGGGAAAACCAATTGTGTGGTCATCTTCTCCAGAGAGGGACAGAAAAAAATAGTGGGAAAATAGTTTATGATGGGAAATGTCATTTCACTGGGTTTGTAATTGTCAGGATTATAGGAGTCACCTTACTGATGGCTGGTGATAACTGTCCAGTCCTGTGGGAACATGAGTACTGGTGGAAATGCTGCCCTAAATGGGGATGTGGAGCAAGACAAACCATACTAACCCTCCAGCACGGCCTTTAAGGTAGGTCCTGAAACACCTTTTCAGAATTTGGTGGTGAGACAGAGCCCAGAAACCATCCTCACCTTGTGTGTTGCTGGACACATCCCAGAACTGATTAGCAAAGTTTTTACATGTAAGAAATGTCAAGCGCTGTCAGTGCACACAAAGTCTCACTTCTTGAAATCATTGCACAGTGATTGAAAATGTCCCCCAGGCCCTGGGCCTGGACAAACATAACCATTTGTCTGACAGAAAATGTTGTTGAAAGCACTGAAGTAAGAACATACCAAAGTTTGTAGACAAGTGAAGAAGAAGAGCAGCTGGGGCAGATGAGAACCAAGGAGAGCCTGGTTCTCTCGGTGTGTTCAGGAGCTGGTTTTCTTCTGTTTCCATTTTTGCAATATGTCACTTGCTGCCTTCAGTGTAGCTTCCTCCTAAAAAATACCACAGGTTTGGTCAGTGGCTCACAGCCAAATTCTATTCCCCCTCACTGTTGATACAAAAACCCTGTTCTCATTCTGAAGCATTGTGGGTTCAGTATGAGACAGGCACAGCCACTGGGCAGCTAAAGGGGCACCCAGAGGATCCCTTCCTTGGCCAAGAAATGTAGGATGCTGATGGGACAAAGTTTAGGATGCCCTGGCACATCTGGTGCCCCCAGCCCAGCTCGTGTGTCTGCAGGAGTGGTTGCTCCAGCTGGGATGCCATGGTGGGGCTCCAATGCCCGAGACATCCTGAATTTCTTCTTGGTACTTCTCTCATTAAGCCAGCCCTGATTATTACTCCCAACCTTGCCTTCCTAGTGCTGTCCCGTATCTCACCTTTGCAAAGCAGAACCGGATGAAATTGGTGTAGTTGTTCTTGTGGGCCTCGCTGTAGAAAGCGGAGAGCGGGATGGCAGCAAGGCCCTGGGAAGAGGAAGCACAGGGAGCTGAGTCCTGCTCTGGGGCTGGCCTGCAGCCTGCTGTGCCCCAGTGTGGGTGAACTCCAGGCCGCCCAGCCATGAGCTTGGGTGGGCACAAACCCACCCAGGGTAAAGCAGCAGGAAGGGCCAGACCCTTTTACCTTGTTCTTGACCATCCACTTTGCAAATCTGGAGTCATAGGGCTCATCCGAGTTGGGGACATCAGGGACATCAGATTCTGCAGGAGAAGCACAGCAGGACAGAGGCTGGGGCAGGTGCCAGGAGCTTCTGCTGAGCCCCAAGCCCACATCCTTGCAGCTGGTATGGGGAACATGCAGCCCAGCCCTGCTTTGATGGTTGTTTCTGCAGGTTCCTGTCCCTGCCAGCAGTACCACGCCCCACACCCAGCCCACCTGGGCAGGACTGCAGGTGACTCACTGAACGGGGAGATGTCTGCCACCAGGAAATAGGTGCCCTCTGGGATGATGGGTTTCATCCCCACACCATCCAGGCTCTGAACCAGCCAGTCTCTCTTCTGCTGCAGCTCCTTGGGCAGCTGGACAAAGTAGCTCTCTGGTTTTCCATAGAGCATGAGCTCCCTCTGGAAACCCTGAGCCACGGCCTCCTGTAAGGAGAGAGGAGACAGTGCCCAGTGGGAAAATGCTCAGGGCTTTCTTGGGAACTGAAGTTCCTGCAATTCACAAGTGATTAGGGAGCTCTCTGCCTCCAGCCCCTCTGAACTGCCTCTTAAATTTGTCAATGCAAGATAAGGAATATACCCCAGGCAGGCTGGACTCTCCCCTTTCTCCCAGGCATGGAGCAACTGTAGGGAGAGAGGAAGGAACCTCTCCAGGGCACCACAGATCACTTGTGTGTGCCTTTCAGGTCAGCTGTGGGGAAGAGGACCGTGTCTTACCCCTGCTCTGAGGGCTTGGGAATTGCAGGGCCAGATGCAGGGAGCTGCCTTACCTGGGCAATTGTGGCACAGTGGTACACCGAGTTCTGGTGCACAGTACGGAGGTGCTGCAGCAGCCTGTCGGGTCCCACAGCCCAGCCCACCTGTGGCCAGGAGAGGAGGAAGATGGTGAGTCTCTGTCTGCCTGAGCAGGCTCCCCTTTCTGTGCCTGTGCTGGTTTCATTGCACTTTCTAGACAGAACTTTCATAAAGCACCTCTGGTACTTTCAGACCCCGAGGCTCAAAGCAGAGCGTGGCCAAAGTGTCCCCAGTGCTGTGCTGTGGCAAAGGGACAGGGATGGGGACACAAGGTGCCACATGGGATATTCACCTTCCATCCAGTGGCACTGAAAGTTTTCCCAGCACTCCCGATGATCACCGTGCGGTCCCACATCCCTTGCAAGCTGGCTGGCAATGAGAGGAGAGAAACCCCAATGGCAGAGCTCAGCATGCTCCTTTCTGGGCTGCATTAATGGCACATGGTCTGTCCACCATGAGCCTCAAAGCACATCCCAAGCAGGCAGCCAGGGTTCTCAAGAATATCTCATTTTAATTAAGCATTCCAGTTATGTACCCAGCCCCAGGGGCTCTCAGAGATGCCACACACCACCACCCTGCATCAAGGTGATGGCATGTTACTCCAACTGGAAGAACAGGCTGAAACTGTGTTGGAATGGATTTCCTGGCACCAGAGACACTCAGAAAACTGTCTTTACAGTAAAAAGCATGGGGAAAAAAATCAGTTTCACTGGAGCCAAGTGGCTTTTTGTTCTAGATCTTCCCTCTGACTGGCTCTGAAGTCAGAGCTTCTGTTTCGGACCTGTTTTGGCAGAAAAATACCCTCCGTGGGGGATTCATGCCTAGTACAGCTGTGCATGCAGGCAGCTCCTGGGATTTCCAGGGCCCGCCAGTGCAAAGCCCATTCCCTGGCCTGAGCAGCCCCGCCCAGCCCTGCCCGTACCGATGCGGATGTGCTGCTTCCCGTCGTAGACCAGCCACTCGTACACCTCATCGCTGATGCACAGCACGTCGTGCTTCACACACAGCTCTGCAATCAGCCCCAGCTCCTCGCGGCTGAACACCTGCAGCAGGCACGGAGTGCAGCAGAGGTACAGCAGGAGCATTTCTGAGCCCCTGCCTGTCCCTGCTTGTCTCTGAAGGTTGTGTGTATCCTCCTGGTACCATCTCCCATGCCAGGGAGGGGCAGGAGCTGGCTGCAGGGTCTAACAGGGCAAAAGCACTGCTGGCACAAAAGACAAGGCTTAAAAACACCAGGAGACTGAGCACAGCATGTGGTGCCCCCACAACACCCACTTCCCTTGTGTGCAAGGCAGGCTGAGTCACTCCTGCACTGCAAATGTGGCTGTATCACCTCAGCAGCTCAGGCCCAGCTTGGCCAGCAGCGTTACCTTGCCCAGAGGGTTGTTGGGTGAGTTCAGGACGATGGCTTTTGTCCGTTCACTGAATTTAGAAGCCAGTTCAGCTGGGTCCAGCTGCCAGTCTGCACTAGACATCAATTTTCCATCTTTTGGAGGATTCTGGAGAGAACATGGGAGTCTTGGTTTGCTTTGCTACCTCTGCACCTTGTTTTCCACTCACCTCTTTGCTGACTGCTGTGACTCTTCCCTTCTCCACCCACTCACCGGCCTCAGAGGCACAAACACAGGTGTCCCACCAGCCATTTTCACCATTGGCTCATAGCAGTCAAAGAAGGGTTCAATGATTATCACCTGGAAGAAAGGGACATGTCAGCATCCTCCTGGGCCTGCTCAGACCTTCCCTGAGGAGTACAGAGAGCAGTAGGAGACACAGGACATTTTAATCCCTAATTACTGTAATGGAGAACCTGCATTGCCTGTGGGGAGTGTCAGGAAGGACACTCAGGACAAAAAGTTATTTTGCTTTATGCAGAAATGAGGTAGTGCCCTGCAGCAGGTAATTTCTTCCTTTGGAAGCTCAGATACTGCAGAACGGGGATAAAATTGGTTTTGCTTTGGAAAGGGACAATGAAAAACCAGCCTGCAGGTCCCCTGGGGGAAGGCTGCCACTGCAACAAGCCCTTCTATTGGGTTACCTCATCACCTTCATCCACTAAAGCCTGGAAGCAGCAAAACAGGGCCTGGTATGCCCCCACAGTCACCATCACATTGGTCATAGGATCCAGGTCTCGTCCAAGCAGCTTCTCGAAAAACTGGGCTAGGACCTTCACCAGAGGTGGGTGGCCCTGTGGGGTGAGAGTAGGGTTGGAATTGGGTTGCAGAAGACTCCTAAACCAAGGATAAACCCTTGGAAGGGGACTGGGAAGCCAAGAGCCCTGTGAGATCTTCCAGCCCAGCTGCTTCAAACATCCCAGTAAAGCAGGGAGTTACTGGGAACAGTGGGTCGAGGCTGGATCTGTGTTTTGTCTCATGTTTTTTCCTGTTTATTGCTGCCTGGTGAGCTCTGAAGCAGCCAGGGCTGGTGGGGACTGAGGGGGTGGTGCTGGGGAGGGAGATGTGTCACGCACGAAGGCACGGGTGTACTGGTGCAGCATGTGGTTCCCCCCGCCGAGGGCTCTCGTGAGTGCCTCTGTCAGAAAGTCTGGCGCAGGGAAGTCGGGGAAGCCCTGGCCCAGGTTCACCTTGGAGTAGGTAGCAGCCAGGTTTACAAACTCCACCCTGGAGGGAAGGGAAACAAAAGCACTTTCAGAAGGTCTGAGCCATGTGCTGCATCGGGTCTGCTCGCAGCATCCCTTTGGAAGGGAGTGGGGTTGGAGTCCCTCCTGCAGAGCCTTCCTGCTGCTCACAGGCAGGCAGGACCAAGCAAGGTCGTTTCAGACCTGTTGCAATTAAACCAAGGATGATGAACTACTGCACTGGGGGAACTGTGAATTTAATTTAATTTAACTGTTTTTCTCCCAGGAAACAGCTCCCGTGGTCAGCGTGTGGTCACAGCTGAAATCCTGTGGTGTTTCTGATCACACTGGACTGAGCAAGAGGGGACTTTGAGGTTTTCAAGCTCATACCAGCTCTGCAAATTTAGCAACTAGACACTTAAGGTCTCTGCAGAGGTCAAGGTGAGTTGAACTTGCTGCTCATGTCAAACAAAACAAGAGCCAGCTCACTGGCAGTTTGTAGCCTGAACCCAGACACAGCAGGGCCTTGGGGAAAGACCATTAAAATCTCTTCTTCCAGCACACAACTTTCCCAATGCTACATTGTGCTGGCAGGATGGGAATGGCATTGCAGCAGCCCTTCCCCTGCCTCTCTGCTTGTGGTGCCCCAGGGCGAGCTTGGAGCAGGTGCCAGGCTGCAGCCAGTGTGCAGCAAACACTTGGCTCAGATTTGGGTGCCACTGGGATCATTTGAGTGGATGGGTCAGAGGGAGGGCAATGGTTCTGCCTGCCCAGTGGTGCAAAACACCTGATCCATCCTGCAGTGAGAGCTGCAGGTACAGCACTGACTCATGGTAAAGTCTTCTGGGCAAACTTGCTCTCATGTGCTTCCTGAACACAAGCAAAGCAGTCGAAGGAAACTTCTGCTCTGTGTTGTGTGGCTACTGTGGTTTCAATCTGGTTTTAGGATGCATAAAACCACATCTACCACCTGGGTAAACCAGATATTCTTTTAACTCACCAGATATTTTTATCTATTCCCTCCAGCCTCCGAGCTTGCACTGGCCTTGACATTTTTGCCTGCAGAGAGTGAGAAAGAAAGTGAGTTTAAAGCTTTTAAATGAGGCCACAAATGAGGAGCTGTGGTCTCCCCAGGGAAGTTTTTCCCAACAGAAGGTGTGCCCTTTAGTATTGCTTCATGGGCTGTTCCTGACTGATCTTGGAGCAATATTACTGTTACAGTGGTTTCTGCTTTCACTTACAAGTTTCAACAAGAATTGGGAAAATAGATGAACAAGATAAGCTTTTGTACACTCACTGGGGAGGTGGCAATGCCTTAGACCTCATTACCTGTTTGGATTAGTCACGGGGTCAAGCTCAGCCAGGCTGTAACAGCCAGGCCAAGCACCCCAGAACTCAGGCTTTTACCTTCATAACCTCTCCATCTTAATGGGAAGGACCTCCTTACTCTACAAGCAAAGAAATACCCCCTTTTCTGGTAGAAGAACAAACTATTTTATCCCATAATGCTCTATGAAGTAGCAGAAGTAGATCCTCTTCTGTCCTGATGAAGTGCTTGGTGAGGGGGCTTGCTCTAGATCCTATCAAATGTGGTTTTCTATTTAAAGTTCATGTCAAACCCAAGCAGTAACTAGGTACTGACAAGAGAGAGCAGAGCACAGAGGTCAGTGTGATGTACAGACACATGCCGTGACTGGTTTGTAATTTCCATGTACATCATGGCTCAGGGGAGTGGAAAGACAGACAGTAGGAAACACTGAAAGCAAAACCCTCCTTCCAGCTGGATAAGCACAGTGGGAGAAAGTTAGATGTGCTTTATGGGGAATTCATCGCGAGGATGATGAAAAGCAGCAGAGACAGAATTTAGTAACTCAGCAGTGCAGGGAAAAGGTACCAGACAGGGAAGGGGCTGGAAACTGGAGACAAATGATGCTCAGTGCACCAGACAGAGGCAGCGTGGGGGCACAAGGAGGGCAGCCCTGAAGCAATGAGTCAAGAAAACCATTGTCACCACAGCAAATAAAGTACATTTGAACTACAACAAGGAAGGCATGTGAAAGCAACTGAGCTGAGGTGCAGAGCTGGGGTGTGCAGGGGTCTGTGCTCTGCCGTCCCAGGATGGTGAGGGGGGGGATACCAGGTCAGCCTCCTCCCAACACTCAGCTGCAGCAGGACTTACCTGCTCCTCTCTGCTGTTTCCACAGTACTGCGCCAGAGTTTGGGCAGTGCCCCAAGGATACTTTGTGCTGAGGTCCTTAGATTTTTTACAGCTTCAGCCCTTACCAGAGATCTTTGCAAACACCCAGCTGAGGAGCCCTGTGTTTCACAAGGCACCAGGTGGACTCTGCTCCACACTGCTGCCAGGCAGGTAGCCAATGACAAGCAGAAGTCACTGGCTCCAGGACAGCCTCTCTTCTCTCCCTCTCCCTCTCCTCTCCTCATTCTGCACAAGCTCATGGCTGTTACAGTCACAAGACCCGGTGCCTGAGCTGATTTGGGTGGGAGCAGAAGGATTTATGGCTTGGGAAGTAAAAGATACCTGGAGGTAAAATATTAACAGCTCCAGTGCTGTTCTTGCAAGGTGGGGCTGCTGCAGGCCACAGGTCGGAGAATTTAACCTCATTTAAGATGACCAAGTGTGGTGGGGATCAGAGGGAAGAAGGTACCTTAAGCCTTGAAATTCCCAGTTCTGAGGAAAGGCCTTGTCTGCTTCAGGAACAGAAATAACAAATACTTTTTTTTCTGATATTCCCTCCATCCCATCCTATCCCAGCCTGCGTGTGATACTGCCATGGAGAGCAACACAGGCTCAGGATCATGCAGCCCTCAAATCTGTTTCAGCCCGTTCTGTCCCCAGACAGAAGGTGCAGTTTGCCTGGCAGCCACACAGGAGAGCTGGGTGCCAGTGCAGAACACTCGGCATCCACGACCTTCCACCACTGACTCTCTGCTGTGTGTGACTGCCTTGCTCTATAGGCTGGGATCTATGAGTGGGAATCTGATATTTTCCAAGTATTTTGCAAGCCAAGAGGCTCTAGTAGAGACCACCAGATGAAGCAACCCCACAAACAAGGAGCCTTCTCCTCTGTGAAGGATATCCCCTTACTTATCGTGATCCTTTAAACACTCCCTGGAATAAGCAGGTACAGAGGAGTTGCACCAGAGTGGCTTTTCCTGATGTGCTCTGTCTGCTCTTGCTGCCAAGCTGAGCTGCCCTGGGCTGCCTGCCAGCAGTCTGCCAACAGTGCCACTGGGCATGCCATACCTCTCTGGAGCACGAGCTGTGCCCAGCGCTGCTGTTCCTCTCCAGCAAGAAGTGACGCAGGGACGGTCCCGCTCTCCTGAGCATGCCACAGCTCCTGCTGCCTCACTCCTGCAGGCACAGACCTGCAATTCCCAAAGGACAGGGCTGAGAAAATCACTCCACAGCGTTAAAGCACACCTGTACCTGGGTCAGGCAGGCCCAGACCCAAAGCAGAGGTTGTTCTGCCACAGAGAGGAAAAGGCAAAACAAGTTGCTTTGTGTGTCATCACTGCAATGTCCAACACTGCTGGGGCTGTACTTTGTGCCCATGACACACAGGATCAGGATCACAAGGGTAACCATGACTTCTGCCTCCTCTCCCAGCCCAGGCTTCCCCCACTTTCCTCTGCACCAATGGAGTATGGACACCAGTGAGAGGGCATCCTCTGGGAATTTGGTACTAAGCATCAGCTGCCCATCCAGTGCCACTGAGCCCAGGTAACTCTTGCCTCTGCCCTTCCTCCTTTGCAACACTTTCACCTTCCTGGCCTACACAGAGAATCTCTGGCCTCTCACCTGCTGCAGCTCTGGTTTAGTCACAAGTTTTATTCCAATTAACAGGATGTCACCTTCCATCTCTAAAGTGATTTTGGTGATTATCTTTCCTTCAAGGCCCCAAACAAATTGATTTCTGTGTGTAAAATGCAGCCTGTTCCTTCACCTCAGGTTCTTTCAACTGTTATACAGCATTACTTAAACATGCAATATTTAAGCTAAAATAAGTGAATGTTTTGTTAAGTACTTGAGATAAAAGCAATGAAGCTGGAGGATGTATGCACCTTTATTATGACCAGCCATGAATTAGTTTACCCATCTGCCAAAAAATTAATTAAAACAGATTTGAAGCTGATCAGCCCACAGGTAAGCTCTCAATACTCCTAAGTATCTTGGTCATCTTAAATGAGGTTAAATATCCTTTCATGCAGGATGCAAGTCCCCAGTGTCTGCATTTTCTGTTATTTCTGAAAAAGGTGCAAAGCAGCTGAGACCAGTGGGATTTCACATCTGTTTGTCTAGTGGGAAAAAACAGCACAATTTATGGAAAAATTGGAAGCCAGAGCATCACATTGCTTATGGCAGTAAAATCTCCACCTTGTGCTTGCATGACACTGAGATGTGGGGGGGACACTGCTTTGGGGTGCAAAGCAAAGGAGTCCTGGAATGAGGAGATCTACCCTGCAGGGGACAGAATCAGAGTGTGGCAGTAAAAAAGGCTTTATCAAATTGCAGCAAACTCCAGAGCTGTGTAAGAGCTGCGCGCAGGGCTGAGGGCAGCACCCGGGAGCAGCTGAGCGGGACACGGCTGGCTCTGGAAGGGTGCACTGGACTGAGCAGAGGATTTGGAGGTGACAACCGGGAAGGTCACCTCGGGGACTGGTCACTCACCACCCCCAGCCCGCGGGTCGCGCCATCTCCTCCATCCCGGTGCTCCTCAAGGCCGCCCTTGGCAGCTCGGGGGTGCACTCGGGAGGCTTTGGGGACACGGCTGTCCCCGGGACACACGGGATGTGCCCCAGCACCGGGGCGGGGGCAGGGCGAGAGCGGCAGCAGCAGCGCCAGCAGGAGCTGATAGTGGGGACAAAGCAGCTGCCAGAGGGACTGCGGGGACAAAACCAACTTACATCGAGCTGGGCCGCGCTGCTTTACGCTGCAAAGCCTGGCACAGCCGCCCGGGCTGCCCGGGCACACATTCTGCCTTCTCCCCTGCCCCAAAGGCTTCAACTGCGGCTCGCACTTCCTGGGAGGAGCCGCTGCGGTCGCAGGAAGGCGGCGGTGCATGGAGCCGCAGCCTTGGAGCTGCAGGCAGCGGTGCATGGAGCCGCGGCCTTGGAGCTGCAGGCGGCGGCGCGTGGAGCTGCAGGCAGCGGTGCATGGAGCCGCGGCCCTGGAGCTGCAGGCGGCGGCGCGTGGAGCCGCAGGCAGCGGCGCATGGAGCCGCAGCCTTGGAGCTGCAGGCGGCGGCGCGTGGAGCCGCAGGCAGCGGCGCATGGAGCCGCAGGAGGCAGTGCATGGAGCCGCGGCCCTGGAGCTGCAGGCAGCGGTGCATGGAGCCGCAGGAGGCAGTGCATGGAGCCGCGGCCCTGGAGCTGCAGGCGGCGGCGCGTGGAGCCGCGGCCCTGGAGTCGCGGCCCTGGCGGGAAAAGCGTTCCGAACCAGCTCTGTGGGCTCTGAGGGCTTCGGCTGCCCAGAAAAATACCCCCCTTGTTGTTCACCTGGAAGCTCATGCTGGCATAACCACAGTGGTGTATTTTTTGTGGGTTGGCTGTAAATACTTCAGCGTGGCAATGGCAGGGAATTTCCCTTTGAGTGAAGCGTTCGGTCATTTTGAAAAATGAATTTATAAGTCGAAATACTCTCAAAAATTTCATCCTTCAGGCTTAATATGATTAGAGAAGGGAAGGGATAAGTGTAAGGTCCTCTTGCCTAAAGCAGACCTTGCAGCATTGCCCGAGGCTGGGCTGGGGGTGGCCAGGCAGGGATTTCAGTGGGGGATGCAGGAGCTGACAGCTGCTGCATGAGGTGTTGGGAGAAATATGCCCTCTCTTCCCTCTTTCTTTTGTGACAAGGCGTGACCTGCACCGATGAGTCAGGTCGTGTAAGTCGAATAATTTCTGTAGCCCTTTCACAGCAGGAAAAAGTGAGCCATGGGGAAAGGAAGTGGCTGCATCCACTGTGCCAAAGGTTCCCGATCCCAACAAACACCCCACAGGCATCCCTGAGGTGATTAAGCAGCAGGGAATGCCTGCAAGGAGAGGAAAACAGTGTTGTCTACATTTCTGTTCAACTAAAACACTGAAACAAACAGATGGAAGGAAAACTTGGTTCTGTAAGAATGTTCAAGTCACATCCAGAGCCATCAAGTGGCTCTGTGGCATTTTTCCTGTGCTTTCTTTGCCCTGTCCTCCGCCAGCCTTGTGCCTTCCCTGGTTGTTGTTTGCCCCTGAACTGAGCTCGTTTGATTAGATATATTAGCAAAAAGCCAATTTTGAAGAAAAGTGGCCAATTTTCAGTCAGGTCCATGAGTTGAACTGGCTCAGGGTAGATGTGAAGGCAAAAGGTCCTGCAAGGAAAAAGAGATGTGGGCAGGGGAGGAGTAGGGAGAAATAGGGATGGACACAAGCCCCCACCTTCTTCGTCAGGATTTAGACTTTATATTAGTCCAACAGCATCACCTTAATGCCCTCTTGAAATTCAGGAGAAATTTCTGGATGAGGTCAGTGATGTAAAGGCCTTGTACTTTTTACTGTAAAACTCAAGGAAAATTACGACCTTTTTCTTCAGGTAATTTTAATTTATCAAATGCATCTGGACATGAACAATTCTTAATCAGCATTGAGTTAAAAAAAAAAAAAAGCTATTGCACTGGGCTGGTAAGAGTCTACAGCTCTATGTCGTGACACTGCTCTTCTGGTATAGGTCCTTGCCTGTGGCTACAGGAAGTTGCTAAGACTTATAATATTCCTAGAAAGCCACAGATGCACTTACTTTATTGTTACAGGCATCACTGGTGTAGACAAGTTAAAATTGGTTGCACTTAACCACTCAGAACCGCCTGCTGTACGCTAATAAAATTACAACTAATGCCTTTGAACCATCCTTTATGAATTTAAAAAGAAATTATGCTGCACAATGCTCTCCATTGCGTCAGACAAGTAAAAATAACTACCAGTGAATCACTTTTTTTAGGCACCACAAAATTCACAGCAGCTGAAGGCACTCAGCTCCGGCTGGAGCTCAGGCGGCTCCTTTAAGGCTGGCGCCATTTTGAGCGCTGCCCGGCACCAAGATGGCGCCGCCGCCCTCACTCTCTCCTCCCACCCTTCCCGCCCACCTCCCTATGGAGCGCGCCCTGCACAAAGATGGCGCCGTGCCCTGTCGCCGTGCCCACCCCCAAGATGGCGGCGGGACGGGGCCGTGGTGGCAGTGCTGGCCGGGTGAGGTCAGATCCGGGGCGGAGCCGCTGCGGGCAGGGCGGACAAAAGGCGCCGGAGCGGCGTAAGGGAGGGTGGGCGTCGCGGGCAGGTGGGTGCGGTGGGTTCCCGTCACGGCCGCGGCGGGCAGGTGGGTGTGCCGCGCTCCCCTCACGCCACGGGCGGGCTGTGGGGACGTGTCCCCCTGAGGGGGGATGTCCCGGAGGGGATGGGGTGGGTCGCCGGGTCGGGGAGGGCGCGGCTGAGGGGGCTCGGAAGCGGCGAGCAGGAAGGATTTGCTGAGTAATTGGGCAGCGATTCGGTGTCTCCGTGTCCCGCCGTCCCTGCTCGCACCCGCCCGGGCAGGGGGGTCCTCAGCCGGTCTGTGGGGCGAGGCGGGGCCGGGGTGTGCGCACCGTCCCTCAGCGAGAGGAGGACGCCGCTGCTCGTTACCTGCGGACGGAAGCGCGGTGGGATTTATTTATATCTCCCGGAGGATGTTTGTTTCTGTGTCCGGAAAGCCGCGGTGGAGTGGCGGCGGCGGGTGCCGAGGTGTGCTAGGCTGAGGCTGGTACACATTGCCTGGAGCGGGGAGAAGGTCAGAGAGTCCTCTCCTCCTAGTGCTACCTTTGCGGCACTGTGGTACGGCTAAAATGCAATAGCTTTGGATGCCAGGGTGTTGCTTCAAAATCTGTCATCCCGAATGGTAACTTTGGGATCAAGAGGAATGAACCCTCGGACATCTTTAGCATTGTGGGGTTGGACTTGCTCCCACTGATGTCTGTTCTTTCTCATTTCTTCTTGTTGACACAGCGCTTTCCGATGTTCCGCAGTCCTCTCCTACATGGAGACTGGATGCTTGAGAGATCCCTCTAAGGATCTGCTCCCTTGCCTGTTTTCCCATGCCCCGTGCTGACATGCAGGAAGCAAGGGAAAAAACCTCCAGCCCTGTTATAGTTTTTGTTGATGGTGCTAAACTGCTTCCACTTCAAGAAGATATGTGGTGTGACGGAAGGGGCAGTTGCTTGAATCTGGAGTGGTTAGGAGTGTGATCTATGCTGTCTGATACCCCTGATAGTAACATTTAAAGAGGATCAGGCCTTTCAGACTAGAAATTAGGCAGTAAAGTAATTTTTTTCCCCATCTGACAATGATCTGTTATTCTGCCTCTACTTGTGTAGACTTAGTTGTGATATTAGTATTCAGCATCTCTTTTGGCTGGGTCTGCAACACCTGCTTTTTGGTAACTTCTGTCAGAATAACAGATGCTGGAAATTCCTTCCTGCTGAGTTTTACTTGACTCCTAGTGTTCTTGCTATATTTCCAGGTATCAGCATGTCTCTTTCTGGCTCCCAGTGACCCTCTGAGTTGTTTGTTGCTTCTTAGATACTGTTTTCTGAGCTTTTACGTGTCCCTGTGTGAACTCGATCCCATTTTTTTTTTGCTGATAATCTGTGTTTCATTTCAGGGAAACTGTTCCCATGGCTTGTGGGGAGTGCAGCACTTCAGCACTCGCTCGGGATCCAGCAAGTAGGAATATCAGCCACTTCCAGCACAGAGAACTGACGTGCAGATAGCAGAACCCTGCTGCAAGGTGAGGGCTCTGGGCCAGCTCTGAATGGTCGAGCCAAAAAAAAGGAAAAATAACAGTATCCTGCTTAAACATAGATGCAAAGTACAGTACATGAAATAATTTATATGGAGGAAAAGTTGTTGGTCAGACAGTGATGGGGAAAGTGGTGGTATTTAATTGTGGTGATGTTAATTAAATTCTGGGAGCCCTTAGCCAGCTTGGAGATGACAAAGGAACTGAACCTTGTAAAAAGTAGAATATAACAGTATATAATCACCCATAA